GTAACATTGATCTATTCTTGGCATGGGGTGTGTGTGTGTGTGTGCATGCATGTGTGTGCATGTATGGGATAGCGGGTGGGTAAGGAACAAAAGGAGATGTGACAGGGGACAATGGTTCTACTTGATTTCCTATTTTTCCGTATTTTTTAAATTTTATATTTGGACCTCAACTTTCAAAACCCCAAAGCCAAGAATTTTACCATTTTACTTTTTTCCCCCTTGTATCCCCATGATAACTCTCTTGTGGCATGTTGTATCTTCTCTAGTCTAAACAGATGTAGAGAGGGTTGGTACAGCATCACAAAAAATGCAGTGGGAGAGGGGAAGGAATGGTGGTGGGAGGGAAACCATATCAATTAATGTAACAAAATCTTATTCCATTTACTTATTTCTTTCTATGATCTTTTTTTACATCTATAGAATATATAGGCTTCTATATATTCATATATATGTATGTGATATAAATGTACATATATATAATATAATCTCTGGATATAAAGTAATAAAGTTTGTTCACAAATGCAATCAGTAGAAATGTCCCATGAACGGAATAACCAATGAAGAGCTATGTGTGGATAGATTTTGGTAAAGCCAGAGGGTTCCTCTGGCTGCATGAGAACAAGGCTGCAGGTAGCAGCATGCTTCACACAATAATGCTGAAATTCAGTTTCATGGCTCTTTGCTCCAGAGAGCAAATCCCATTTCAGCCACAGGAGGGCCCCTGCTCCCCTGAACTGCCTGTTTGACAGACTGGGAATTCAGAGGAAAAATGAGGAGTGGATTCAGGAGCCAAATAACAATATATATCTATTTTTTGTAATGGTGCGAACGGAACATTTGGCAATCGTATGTTTCCTCAAACTGGTGACGCCTGTGGTGGCATTTGCAAAGTACTAGTCTGACCACACTTTGGACAGAAGTCCCTGGTCCTGGCCCAATCAATGCATGTATAAGCGACATCCTAACGAGCTCCCTGTCCCCATCCCCACTCCCACACAGCTAAAGGAGTTACAGGGTATGTTTGGAGCCTGGGACGAGCGTGCCCTGCTCCACAGTGACCAGGGGCACCACAGACTTCCAAGGGGTACATCTGTGAAGGCTATGCCTTTCATAATGAACCGAGGGCCAGAGTTTCCTCCAAAACCACTGGCTCTGGGGCACAGAATCTGGCCTCTGCCACCAGGCCTCCTTATAGAAACCAGTGTCACCCTATGTGGGGCCGGGTTCTGGCAGCCATTTACTGTGGAGCAGCTGGCCAAACTGTGACCTCACTGTGGCTGCAAACCCACTTAAAATATTAACTGTGATGATAAAGATGAATAATTCCTGTACCCCCAGGGCACATATGAGTTTACTTATCTTTCCTGTCAGCCCTGAACTGCTGCTGTTCAGCTGCCCTATACAAGATCTAGCTTCTGCGGCCCTGTGAGAACACAGGACAATAGCTCTTCAGGTTTTGAAGCTTTTGATGGGTCTGCTTTCTGCATAAATTGTTATTGCTCTTTACAGACTAATGGGGGTCTGAGTTATTTTGAGCTGACTTGGGGGGTGCTGAATGTGGTGAAATTACGGGGTGAGGGTTGGAGGTGGGGAGAAGGAAGGCACAAAGAGAGGTTTAGCTGGGATTCCCCTTCCCTCCAAGCTTCAGCGTAGCTGGGATGCAGCAAAATTGCTCTGGCTGCCAGTACCCATGGCCTTAATCATCTCCAGAGTGGGGCGATGCTGCCGAGGCCAAGAGAGAAATGCTCCAGTGGGGGGTTCCTTTAACTGAGCTTTTGCAAGAATTGTACAGTCTGGCCACGGCTGCTGCTTATGCTTGCCTAGGCTGGTTTAACTCCTCTCCTTTCCACAGGGGGTGTGGGGAGAACCAGCTTCCCCATTAACTTGGGGCCTGCATTTTATCGACTGCGAACACTCAGGATCCCAGTTCTGGGGCCATCTGTGACCTGTCGTGCTATAATAGCTTGGTTTTCCCCGTGTTCGGCTCCCTCCCTGAGTACTTAGTGTTAAATCATAGGGGGAGGAAGTGTGAGCAGAGGAAAAACAGCACTATTACATGACCCCCGATGAGACCGCTGTGATAGAATTAAAAGCTGCCGCCCTAGGACATTCTAACAGATGACATTGTGAGGTTGCCAAGGTAACCCACCAGGATATAGTTCCAGCATCTTTGGGGTTGATGCCGGGTAGGCGAGGTCAGTCAGAGGTGAGTCCCAGTTGTCTAGGGTCTATCCCCTGGCTGGCCAGTCCATGGCAGCCAAGTGGAAAATCGAGGTTGACCTCTACACAGCGCAGATGAACGCAGCGTTGACTCCTCATTGGGTATTCCAGGTGAAAGAGAATTAGATTATTTCAGATAATTGTTCAATGTAGGTTACACAGAACCTTGAAAGTCTGGATACTAATGACTCATCCATTCATTCCATAAATTTTTATTGAACACCTACTAGGTCCCAGGTTAGGAAGTGGCAGAATATCGAGGGGGAAAGGTCCAGAATTCTAGAAAACCCTTAAAAAAAAAAAAAAAAAGAAAAGAAAAGGCAGATCCAAGCAGGGGAAAAAGACATTTCAGACATTTACACATCATTAGTGCTCAGGAAAATGTCAAGTGGAAGAAAACGGAATCAGAATAATTTACTAACCCCAATGATCAGGTGTTAAAAAAAACTTATGTGCAAAAATTTATAGAGTGAAAATGATTTGCTTGGGGCATCTGAGTGGCTCAGCGTCTGCCCTGGGCTCAGGGTGTGATCCTCGGTTCCTGAGATCGAGTCTCACATAGGGTTCCACACGGGGAGGCTGCTTCTCCCTCTGCCTATGTCTGCCTCTCTCTGTGTGTCTCTCATGAACAAATAAATAAAATCTTAAAGAAAATGATTTGCTTAAAAGACATAAAACTTCTTCCCCCAACTACAATCCATTAATGCTACATTCCCCCACTTTTCTTTTTATCTTCATTTAAATACTCCATGTTTACTTTTGAACTTTTGGTTAATACCTGTAAATGTTACTTTTTTTCTCTGAGGTAAGGATTAGAAAGGATCAGAAAGATTTCAGATGGGCCCTGACTTGTGAAACTCAAGGCCTTGACAGATAAATGACATAGAGATCCGTCCCTCCTTTTGGCTTCATAGGTGGGTGTTCAAAACTGAGGTGGTGCCACTGGACCCTTGTGTCCCCAACACACTCTTGTTTGGACCTGGACTTGGGCTGTCCCTTGGTCTCATTGTTTTCTCTCAGAGAGCAAGCTGAGGAGAGCCAGGGAAGTTGGAAATGGTGGTGGTGAGTGATGCCAGCGAGTGGAAAGCTGGAAAGGCAAAGGAGCGAAATGCAAACAAATATGGTGTTGGGGGCAGGAGGGAGGAACACAGAACTGGGATGGCTATGGAAAAGGAAAACAAGGAAGAAAATCTCAGGCTGTGTGAGAGAAACAGGAATTCCTGAAAACAAAATAGCTCTTCCTTACCCCCTGGGGGGGATTGTTATTAGTACCAGAAGGACCTCATTAAAACACTGTTGGGGCCCGAAACCAGACCACCACTCCGTGGGCTCCATTGCCTAAAGGCCCCCTCTTTGCCCAACCCGACAGTGCAGATAATTAATTAAGATCATGTCAGCTGTCTTGTTGCGGCCCTCTTATAATAATATTAATAATAACAATGATAATAGCTAAATTATGGAGTGCTTCCTAAACACTTTACACATTAAAACCCACGAGGAAGTACTATTTAACAAATGAGGAAACAGGCCCAGAGCAGTTAAGGCACTTACCCAAATCACACAGGGAGTAAGTAGGGAGGCTAGGCCAACCCTAACGGGCTCTAGGAGTCCTGCTTTTAACCTCCTACGTTGTAATGTTGCTTTGTTTACAAAGTTCCAAGAAAACAAAACAAAACAAAACTTTTTAACGGGCTCTCTGCCTCATATTCTCACTTTATTAAGTCAGCCCTGCCCCGGTGGTTTCTTTTTTTTTTTTTTTAATTTTTTAATTTTTATTTATTTATGATAGTCACAGAGAGAGGGAGAGAGGCAGAGACAGAGGCAGAGGGAGAAGCAGGCTCCATGCACCGGGAGCCCGACGTGGGATTCGATCCCGGGTCTCCAGGACCGCGCCCTGGGCCAAAGGCAGGCGCCAATCCGCTGCGCCACCCGGGGATCCCCCCCCCCCCCCCGGTGCTTTCTTTATGTAGTTGTCTCCTTTGGGCAACCTCGAGTTGCAGGCCAAGATGGCTCGCCAGATCTTCTCCAACCTTCTGGACGCCTGAAGTGGGTGGAATAGGGTGTGGCAAGGAGCCGGTGGCATTATCCCTCTCGTTAATCACGGACTCAGTAGGTAACTTAGCCGGGCGGGGGAGGGGCGGGTAGTAAAGGCCACCTGTGGAATGGGCGGGAGGACAGGTGCGCGCAGAGCCTCCCAGACCCTCAGCCAGCAGCACCTTGGTGGCAGTCACCCCCCAGCACCCCGCTCAGATCTGGGGGGCAGCCGGTGCCCCGCGCGCACCCCCGCGGCGCACAGCCTTGGTGAGGAGGGGTCGCGAGGGCGGGTCGCTGGGCCTCGGGGCACGGCGCGGAGGGGCAGCGGGGTCGCCCGCGGGGCGCGGCGTGTGCGGCGCGCAGGTGGCCCGCGGCGCGCAGGGGGCGGCGCGGGGCGTCGAGGGGGCGCGGGGCCCGCCGGCTCCCCCGGCTCCCCCGGCTCCCCCGGCTCCCCCGAAGATGCCGCGCAGCATATTTCGCACATGAGTTCAGAGGAAGAGGAAGTGTAGCGGGCGGACGCGCGGCGGCGGCGGCGGCGGCGGCGGCGGCGGGCGGGCGCGGCGGGGCTGGAGCGCGGCGGGGCTGGAGCCGGAGCGCGCCGGGCTCAGGGCGCCTCGAGCGGGAGCGCGGCGGCCGCGGGCTCCGCGGAGGGACGGACGCACGGACCGCGGGGGGGGGACGGACACCGAGCGCGCCGCGCCGCCGCCCCGCCCCGCCCCGCCCGCCCCGCCCCGCCCCGCCGGCGCCCGCGCCCGCGCCCGCGCCCACGCCTGCCCCGCGCCGCCGGCTCTGGATGGCACAAACTTTCCTCCCGGGACGGAACGCGCTGTCTCGGGGAGCCCGCGCCGGCGCCTCTGCCTCAGCCGGCTCCCTACGGTAGGTGGGCGCAGGCCCCGCACGGCCCCGCACGGCCCCGCGGACCGCGGCCGCGCCGCGCCGCGCCGGACCCCGCGAGCCCCGGGGCGCCTCCCCGCAGGGCCCCGCCGCCACGGCCCGGCCGGCTTGGATGCGGTCGGCGCCCACTCACGGCACGCGGCGGGCTTGGCCAACTTTTTTTGGAGAGAGAAAAAAAAAGAAGAAAGAAAGAAAGAAAGAAAGAAAGAAAAACCATCACACTGGCACGCTATGGGGGGACGCACCCAGAGCAGTTAGTTAGGGGTCGTGGGCTCTGCGGGCTCGGGGGCGCCGGAGGGGGAAGCAGAGGGGAAGCTTCGAGGCCACAGGTGGGTCTGGGGCACTGCCGCGGGGGGCCTTGGCCAGGATCGGGCAGGAGCTGCACGCGGGGTGCGGGTCCCGGAGGGCGCGAGGCTGGGGGCGGGGGCGAGGCGGCTCCGGCTGCCCTTCTGCGTGCGCCCCCCCCCCAGGTGGGTGCCCCCAGGTGGGTGCCCCCAGGTGGGTGCCGGGTACGTGCGAGCGGACGCGCCGCAGCCCCCGGAGGCGCCGAGACTCGGGGCGCGGGAGTCCCCGGCTCCAAGGGGATTTCTCTCCTCGTCCTAACCCACTTTCGCAGGCCCCGGGGACGCCGGGGTGGGTCTGGGCCACGGCGGGGCGGCGGCGGCGGCGGCGTCCCTTCCAGAAAACCCGATTGTCGGCGTGCGGCGTGCGGCGCGCGGCGCTCCCGCTCTCCCCGGACCAGGGCCGTGCCCTTGACCTAGGATATCGCCGTCTTGGCAGCGAGAACCTCTTGGAAGCCAAAAGTGCCACCAGGCGCGCGCCCTGCTGCCTCCCCGTGCTCATGCTTAGCTGCCCTGTGTGGTTGTGGGTGATCCCCAGGGACCCTGGGTGCTGGCAGTGAGTTTGTTGGGGGGGGGGGGGACTCACACAAACAAAAACTATATTTATGTTTTTTAAGTCTGGCACAAATGCCCTGGGTTTCCAGCAAGAGTTCCTTCTTGTAATTGGTACAGCTGTTTTCAGATGCTGGGTGCACAGTCAGGCCAGGCGTCTTCCAGCCCCTGCCATCGTGTGTCATCTCAGGATAGGTGAGGCCCTGCCAGGAAGGAAGGCGGGGTAATGCGAGCGACCTCTGGGCCTGTGGGTAGGGCACGCTGTGCACCCCCACGTGTCCCTGGCTGCCGGGGTTCCTAATTTGCACCTCTGAACAGCTGAATTCCCTACGAAGTTCAAGTGACCCCAGATGTCACCAGACCCCACAGAGGGGTTAAGCAACAAGCTGTTTGGGGCTCTTTGGTGCATGCGTGTGTGCTAACCTCAGTGAAATCACTTTAACCTCAGAAGTGACTCTGCATCCTCTTTTGCCTTCAGCTGGGATTCTGGTCCTGAGAGCTTGGACCTCATCCTCTGTTTTATCAAGTCGCTGGGTTGGTTTTTCTTTGTTAGTCTTTTGGCTTGATGCACGTGGGGCAAATGGAAGTGGAGTGTTGTGCAGTTAGCTAATAGTTTGGTACAGGAATTGAAAGGGAACAAATTGGGAATGAGTTCTTTTTCTCCCTCTTGAGCAGGAATTTTTGGCTTCCATTCAAATAATTGCTTTGTCTGTAGGGAAACAGGCAGAAAATCTTTGGCATGAGTGATGGGAGTTCCTGTAAGGCTACTTGTGTTCTTCCAATCTTCACTTTTCAGCAGAATTGAAACTATATGGGCCTACGGCTTGGTGGGCATGGGTGTCTCGCCAAATTTCTAAATTGCGGGCTAAGGAGAGGGCATTATGACTCTTTCACCACCTATCTCCTTTTAAAAAAATATATAAAAGTTGCAAGAATGGTAACCACCCCAATACCCGTATCTAGAGTGTAGTTTAGCGGTACTGGCTTCATTACACATCTGTCAACTTACTCATGCCTCTATCCATCTTAAGTCTCATTTAAGTCCCATCCATCAATAAGTCCCAACTTACTGTTTTATGCACTTTAAAGGAAATTACAGACTTTGGCACAGGTCACTCCCAGATGTTTCAGCACACATTTTATTATTCAGAGTTCAATATATGTTCATGATTTGCTTAAGGTTGAATGTATGTACTTAGAGTGAAATGCACAAATCTTGAGAGTGATATTTGCATAATGTTTTGATAGCTGTGTACACCTGTGGGACTTAGCTGCTAGCAAGATAGAGAGTATTACCATCACCTCAGAAAGTTCCTCATCCCCATTCCCGGTCAGTCCCTGCCTGCATTTCAGTGGTAACCACTGCTGATTGTTTCTGTTAGTTTAGTCTATTCTTGAATTCCTGTAAGTGGAATTTTACAGTATTGTGTAAAGCTTCTTCCACTCAGCCTATTTTTGAGCTTCATCCTTGTTGTGTATATCAGTATTTTGGTGGTGGGTTTTTTTTTTTTATTGCTGAGTTATATATTCCAGGATATGTCCATACCACAGTTTGTTAATACATTCCCCCTTACGGATGGACACCCAAGTTATTCCTAGTTTTCGGGGGTAGAGGGAACGAAGCTGCTATGAATATTTGTGTATAAATCTTTCGGGGACATATGTTCTCATTTCTCTTGGGTAAATGCCTAGAAGTAGAATCAGTAGGTTGAAGAAGAGGTGTCTGTGACCTTAGAAGAGCTGCTGGATCCTTTTCCAACATGGCTGTACCATTTTTACAGTCCTACCAGCAAAGAACACAAGTATGAGATTCCAGATATGACAACCCTATTTTCCTATCTCAAAGTCAAGAGCATGGTTTGACCAGTGTTCCAGTGGAGGGGTGCAGAAATTGGACCCCCGAGACAGTCCGAAGCATGTTGTTTTATAGCTGGAGGAGTCATGAGAAATCTCTGACTCTGCCAGTGAGTGAGTTTACACTTAAATTATTGCAGATTATCAGACAAATATTTTATTTGTAGAGATCTTCAGAGAAGGGAATTCCACAGGGAAATGTACCCTTGGTTGTGAAAGGAGATTGATTGAGTGCTTTCTATATAAAGAAAAAATAACCCCCCAAACGCACAGAATTCCACTACACTTCTGCTTCGCCACTCCTGGGGGGATTTCTGACGTATTGGTCTGGTTGATGTGAACTTGGTGGAGGAGATTCCCATTGGATTTCACCGGCTTGCGCAGCTGGCTGCTGAAAGCGGTTATGTTTGCTTTGTGAGGCAGATCAGATTTGGCTTTTTGAAGGCTCAGAAAACAGCTTTCCTGTTAAAGTGATTTGGCCTGTCAGTGAGAAACATGACCTGTCGACACCCTCTCATTGTCCTGGCTGAGAAAATGGGCCGGTTCCCCTCAGGTTCTCTTACCCTTCAGTCCCGTTCTGTGGGCCAGCAGCCGAACCTGGCCTTGGCTGATGCAGGAAACAGAAACAGAGCCCCCCTCCAACTGCGTGGGACCCCAGAATGAAATATTCTCATCTGGCCAAGGTTGGGGAGTCAGATGAGAGATGGCATAGAATCTCGAGATGTTGCACTGTGTTTGGGAACTGTTCTGATCTGACGGCCTGGAACAGTGCCTGCCACAGGGTAAGGGGCATGGTAAATACCGGCTGAGCCATTCTGGGGACTCGTGGTACGTGACTGGGTGGGTGATTGCCCATCTGTGTGTTGACAGTGAGTGCTGAGATGTCCCCAAGATGTATTTCACTAAAGGATACTTTACCATAGCCTGGTAAACAGGTTCAAAGTGTTTCAGCCTAGGAAAACTTGCTGACTGTAAACTTCTACTTTAGTGGCACTCTTTTTTTTTAATTTCAGATTTTACTATTTTTCTTAACAAACTGATCATTATAGCTACCACTTGCTGAGCACTTTACTCTTTGCCAGGCACTGTTAGGCACTTTACATGCATTCTTTGAATTTAATCTTCATGAGAAGCGAGGACTATTCTTATCTGCACTTTAGCCTTGAGGAAACCGAAGCTTAGGGAGGTTAAGTAACTTGCCCCAAGTTCACTTTTTCACGTTTCCTAGGCATAGAGAAGAGACTGTGATGTTCTGGTTTTGCAAATGAGGTTACGTCTGCAAGCACAGATTGCCAAAGTTGTGAAGCCGTGGGATAATAGATGCATCAACTGGGTGGGTACAGCACCGTGGCCAGAAATGACACACTGGGATCACTTCCTTTCATCTTCTGTTCTTTTGCTCTGAAGTTTTCGGAGTTTGTGGCAGCCGGAGCCTGTAGAGAGGTACTAAGTGTTTTGGTGGCAGTTGTAGATATTGTTGGTTGACTGTGATTTTAGTTTTATTGGAGGGAGAAAAAACGCTATCAGCTGTTGAGTTGGGAGTGTCTATAGCTGGGCTACCCCATACCTTGGCCACCAGCTGTGTGTGGCTATGTGCATTTTAGTGTAAAATGAATTAAAATGAAATAAAATAAAAAATTCAGCTCCTTGGTCCCACTAGCCACGTTGTCAAGTGCCCTAGAGCCACATGTGGTTCTCGGCATGGGCCTTGGACAGTGCAGAGGCAGAGTATTTTCACCAGGGCTGAGGGTCCTGCTTGACAGTGCCGCTCTACAGTCAGTATCTGTCTTTTCCTTCAACTGAAGAGTTGGCAACGCACTTGGCAAAGGCTTAGGCTATTTTTCACTGACAAAGAGATAAATTTAGCCAGACATTTCTTTTATGTTTACCTTTTAAAGGTTTTGCATGTGTGTGTAATCTTTTCTCCAACTCACATTCAGTTTTTGACATAAATTTGAGTTTCCCTTTGCTCCTGGGCCCCCAAAGGGGCTTTCGTTATAATCATTGCATATTTACCAGGATGCTTTCTGTCAAAAGATCGGTACAGCAGGCAAGTGATGGCCACTGCTTGAGCCCTGTTAATTCCTTGCTCTCCAAATAAGAATTCCGTTCAGCTTTTAAATATGCATTTGTGTGACTTACTCCCCACCTGGGCTGAATTCAGGAAGAAGAATCGGCTCTCAGCGGGGCCAGAACCAAAGAGCTGGGAAATCAGGTCACATTCTACGCCTGATG